ATAGATTTCATGAAAATACATATTTCTACGAAAACCCACTGTTGCTCTTTAATGCGTTTTAATTAAGTAAATCCGTGGAGATAACGTTTAAAAGTTGTACTAGTATGACGAATGCTAATAAACACCCGTTATTAATGATCAGTTAAAAAGAAAATTTATGTCAAGAGAAATAAACAAGAATCCGTTAAAAAATTTAAAGCACACAAATCTTTCGTGTCCGAACTTCTAAAACATTATCAAGGAATCTTCTGGAGGATCATTTCAAAGACGAAACACGAAAAAGTTTTCTTTTGCGAGTAATTGAAAACTGGCTTGCCGTCTGGGCGTGGAAAAGTTGAAAATATATCACACCTCGACAGGCAAACCAATGACCTCTTAGAGAGCGAGAAAGGTCGTCTGAACTTTGGCAGACTTTTCTTTTAGTTTTATGCGAGTAACTTCAACAAGTCTTTATTAGTTTTTCTTGAAACTCCAATACAGACTAATACCTCTTTGGGTACATTATGTTTCATGAAGAGTTGTAGTCAACGACTTATTACTAGTTAGTAAATACTTTCATAAGCAAATATTATACAATATATGTTCCTACCCGTATAAACGGATTTCCAGCAATATATCACAAATTTACAGATTTTATACTTCTATTATAATATAAAACTTATAACTTCACACTTATTCGATTCGTGGCCGTATTCGATTCCGTAATCTTTGGGAACGAGGCGCTCTGAAGTGTTTGGCCCCTCGTAGTATAATTTTAATCAACAAGTTTTCCAATTCTTTCATCCTCCCCCGACCCTAGGCTACCTCCACATTGCACCAAATGGAAGAAGTGACTTTCTTGCAGCAAATTTCCCTAAGTCAGTTAACATTTCACTTTGAATACCACATACTCCGATTTAAACATAGTGGTACTTCAAGGTCCCGAGCTGAAAGGAGAGGGGGCATTGTCACCCAATCGGGAGCTTCAGTACCAAAAGTTTAAGTCGTAACGAAGCCCCCGATTGGATGACAGTGTTTCTCTCGCACTTCCGGTCATGACCTTAAGGTGTCACTATGTTTAAATTTTTGTAGCAGGTTCACTTCCATATCCTCCATATTAATAGTATAAAAGAAACACGTCACCGGTTCAAAAAACGTTGATAGAGGCTGATATGCAGTGTCGAATAGCGGATATTCTTCATGAATATACACATACTACAGCTCGGAGTATTCCTGAGTTTTTAAGATGCGTGAATGTATAAAAGTTAAAATGATGCAAACACGTCAAAATGTCAAAAAAAATCTCAATGGACAGGAAAAGGGACGAATGTGAAGAAAAACCGTATTTTGTAAATAAGTGAAGAGACATGTTTAGTAAACGGTTGAGTTTTACTAGTGAAATTTCTTAAAGATAGTTCTCAGGAGACAGGTATATAGAGCGTAAAACATTTCTATTTTCGCCACTTCAGATCCGCTCAGAAAAAAACTGCTCTCCTGGAAAATGACAATTTTTGACATGAGTCACTTTTCTTTGAACCGAAGATTTCTTGTCTTAGAGGTTACACAAGATCATTTTCAAATCCGAAAATGTCTCCAGCTTTGATAGATGTGATATTTACTAGAACCATCTACCGACTAAGTTTTTCACGCGCACTGTTTGTCATGAATGTAAGTTTCCTATTCTTGAGTCTTCAAGAACCCCAAATGGCTCCGTATTCGTTCTGCGTTGCGAGTATGCTGGCTGTAAGAGGTACACAGGAAGGCAGGAAGCAAGGCAGATGCAGAATTAATTGATAGATAGATAGATTGATTGATTAGTGATTCTGGGTTTGACAACTACTAAAGTAGTTAGTCCAAGTGTAGTGCATGCTTTTTCCCGCGAGAGGTGGCGGTGATCTTCCCCCGCTGAATGGTGAGATCCGGTGCCGACCTATCGTCGGCTACAGTCCCCAACAAAGCGTCTCGAACCGGTGGGGGACCGCGCCAGTCGGATCAATCTATAACCTCCGACCGGTCTCATGGTAAGTGTTAGGGTAGTGCAGGTAAGTACAAGTGTGAGTAAAGGATGACGGGATAAGGAAGAGGAAAGAAAGATCGCGCGCGGTCCGTAGTCGTTTATTAGGGTACTACTCCTGTTAATGATCGGAGAAACTACGGATAACTACCGATCAGACCAGACGACCGCTAGTATTCTCCTCAAGACAGCGACTAAATGTGACCTAGCTATCCAGCTAGTATCGAAAAGTCTCCCATCGTCGGGACCCGAAGATAAGACCTCCCAGTCAGAGGAACAGCAGTGACATTCGTTAATGCCCTGAGCCACCTCCCCCGATAGAGATGGCAGGACAAAAACGCATTTCCCTCTTCACTCGGCGTCATGTTCGGTAATTGCAAATTGCTAATTTAGCCAGCGTTATTTGACGGGTCGGGCAGCGCCCGCGAAGCGGGGTCCGCGGCGATGAACGGGCTTTTCCCCACAGCGGCCTCTTCCCCGCTCGCCTGCGCTGTAGCCTCGCCAAACTTAATCTGCGAGAGCTGGTTGAATATTCTACCGCGGCGCGCGCCACAGCCGCCTCGGCCAAACGTTGCTCGCCAAAGGATAGGCACAGACGCGGCGCCGCGCCGCTGCGGCAGGCCTGACAAATTGTATCAAGCGATCTTGTGGCAACCGAGAGTGATGGAACGCGAGAGGCCTGCTTTGGCGGGATTTGAGGGCGGTAATTGTTGTTCGGGCTCGGCGATGGATTCTGCGAAGCGAATTTGATGAGTTGTTGTTTCACGAGTGATCGGCGAGAATCGGATAGGTTTGATCTCGGAATCATCTAGGAGAGAAGTTTTATAAATTTTTATCATCAACATATTAAATGTCTCATATCATTCCATAACCTAAAACGATTGATACGATCTAAAATATTTGGTAATTTAGCGAGGTTTATTCATATTTCTGGTTTTCAATACGACTCAACTGCAAAAATGATACTGATTAGCAGAATTTATTACGAATCTCAAATGAGACGAAATATAGATTGATTTTTTAATGTCTGATATATGCATTGTAACATGTTACAAACGTACATTATGCAAAACGTCTGTACCTATATTAAATTTGATAGAAAATTCGTATAATAGTAATGGCTGAAATTCAATATTAATATTGATTTCAAAGAATATGTCTCCATGATAATTTTTATATGTTTACTAGACTGAAGGTATTGAAACATTTTCTTCGGAATACGAAAGAATAAAACCACAATGGGTAATGCATTATCTCCATCTGTAGTTACAAAATACCCATGTTCAATGAAAAAGCTACTTTCTTTTCAATAACAATCGAAGGATTGTTCAACATGTTACTTTTGGAGTTAATATTACATGTCATACGGTAGACATTTTCAAGCATTGTTAGAAATTCAGCCTAAGTTAATTCTTGTAGTTAAACGTACTTTGTTAAGTTTGAAAAAGACACAGCCCATTACATTAAGAAAATGCATGTAAATTGCGTTGCAAAAAAGTAAAGTATTAACTGCATTTGCATTATTAAGTAAATATTGTATGTATAGTGTAACTTCATCCTTGTAATGATATGCTTTTTAATAGCTTTATTGACTAGATTATTCGTGCTAGTTTAAAATTTTAATATGGCTGCTAATACAAAATTGAGAGAGCATAGAACGTAGAGCATCGGAAAATGTATTCCACAAACCTTTGTACTTTTTGTGAATTGGTACACATAGTAAACATACTGCGTGAATTCAGGCTTTTAATGGCTTTTTAATGTTGGTTGGCACACTAATTTTAAATCTCGAGTTCTGCAAGTTCATATCAGATTGGTTCAGGTCGATTTGCTAAGGGAAAAAACAACTCAATGTGCCATGACATGCTAATGACATGTAAATAATCCTGGCACAAAATGCACCGAAAAGTGATATCATCCGAGAATTCCCATCCTACTCAAAACGTATACTCGCTAATACATTGAATCATGCAAGTATCGCATAAATATGACAGCTGTTGTTCAAACGGAAGCTGGCGACAAATATACATATAAAAAGGGGGAGCTTGGGAGCGTTGGGACTCCATGTGGTTCAAAGTAGAAACTTCCCAACAATTCAACGTTTGTCGGGGACAAGACGAAGGATATCATTACATATCCTGAATATTACACACAACTGCAACTTTTGACGGGATTGGGATGAGATAGTACTATGCCACATTTTAGCAAAACATCAGATATTGTCACCTACACGGCTATCTGCCTTCCAGTTTATGTTTGTGTATGTAGTATTAAATGTTAGCAAAAAATGGCAAAGTAACACAGAGAAGTTTATCATAATTTCCCTAAACGAAGTATTTCATAATAAATATTCAAAATTTTAGAGCTTGAAGGTGCCGATTATGATTAATTTATTCTAATAAAAATGTGGTAGGAAACTTATATAACAAAGTTACACAGTAGAAAAAGTCTCTGAGTGATAGATAACTAATAAGTCTTTGAAAAATACACGTTGTCGCTAGAATGTCGTGTACTTGCCAAACATCAGGAAAAGATGAGTGATCTATTATTCGAGGGCAACATGTCACATGTGTAAGTCGGTTACATAATATTTCTCACCGTACTGTCATTTGCAAAAAGTAATCATCTTCAACCCTACTTCATTGCCCAAAAGGCATGCAACATTTTTTCTCAGACATCGTGTCATTATATATTTGGCTGTCCGGGAATCGCCGCGACCTAGGGACAGATGAAAACTTTTCTGACGCATGGCTGCGAGCTTTCTCAGAATGGCATTTCTCCCTGAGGAAGGTCGCAGCATGTCGGCCAAGCCGTTGGCATCCAGGTCTAGGAAGCGGCGTCTCATTGACAGCCACGTAGATACCGACTCCGGCCGCTGAAGCCTATTCTTTCATCCTATACCTATAGCAGGAGGATGTTGCAAGTTTTTATCCAGAACTCGTTTTCAATCTGAGTGGCAGAGGCTAACTGCTACCAAACCCTTCTAATCTCGTAAGAGTCGACTCACGTCAATGACGGCGCCGGTGACGGTGTAGAGGCGGAAGGGCGGCTTGCGGTTCCGCACGAACTGGAACATCTTCTCGTTGTCGCGCAGCCACTCCACCTTGTGGAGCTGGTCCAGCGGCACGTCGTATTCGCAGCCCAGCCGCGCCGACCCGTTCAGCGGCACGTAGCGCGGGAGGCGGAGCTCCACTGAGAACAGCAGGGCGTCTGGAACAATGATTGATTGATTGATTGTTAGTCATTCCGAGCACGTCAAATACAAATTAGTCATTAGTCCCGTAAGTGTAATGCATGCTTTTTGCTTGGGAGGAGGCGGCGGTCTTCCACCTCTATATGGCGAGATCCGGCGCTGACCTACTGTCGGCTAGCGGGGTTTACTCCAACCAGGTATCTCCCACCAACGGAGCACCGCTCCAGCCAGGAGAAGCTCTAAGCTCCGGCATGCGTGGCAGTGTAGTGAATGTTAATGTAAGTGTGTTTAAGGTGTGAGGATTGGATAAGGAAGATTTAGGTTACTCACAGATAACTCCTTTGTGATGCGAGACGGGAAAATGATTGTTTGCTTTGGGTGTACAGAAAATGTTAGTACACGTAGTGTTTGAAATTTGGAGACTCTGAAGTACGATAGTTGGCCTTAGGTCGACGTAAGTAAATCACAAGCTAGACTTTGTGATAGAAAAAGGACAAGCAACTTGTCAGCTCAGGTCTACACAAAGAAATCACAAGTAAAGCTTCCTGAACACGCCAGAAAATTAGTGGCGCACCTCAAATCAACCCAAAAGCAAATCACAAGCACGTCACACGTGATTTCGTATTATCGAATACGAAAACATACGATCCCAACGCGGTGAAAGCATCGTAGTCCCCCTTAGGTTCTACCGCAAAGTTTTTCGTTCCTATTGCTTCAGTAAACCTCTCTGCATCTTGAACTTGGCTTCCCCGAAGGTAATCGAACCGAAGCATTAAGATGACAAGAAACATCGCCAAGAAAAAATTTGCTATTTCAACACATTAGAGGAATTATAGTTTATTTTGGTCGTACATAAAAACAAATCATTTCGGTAAGTGAATTTTTTTAGGTCTACCAGCTTTCCACTAATACTTTCTGAAGTTACAAGGTTTACACACTCAACAGTAATGTATGTAGCACATAACATTTCATAGATAAGAACGTGAGGATCGGTGCTATACCACAAAGACAACAACGAAACATCCAGCCTAACGAGATTCCAATCCTGAGGGGAATTCCAAGAAATCTGGTAATTGAACTGGAAAACTTTGGGTGTGATGTATTTCAGCAGTTTCACAAGTTTTTAATTTTTCTTCGCTGCCATTGCGGTTGAACTAAATATTAATTTTACTGAGTCTGACAGTAACACGGGCACATTAAAGAAAAAAATATTTTCCTCTTTCTCAGAAGCGGATCAAACTCTTTAAATCGCAGCGTATGCAAAGTTATACCTCACCACACCACGACGCATCAATCATAAAAGCAGGAGCGCGGAATAATTTCAAAATACACCACCATTTGCTGAAGACTGCCGCTAAATATTAATAAACACGAAGAACAACTTGGAGGGGAAAAGTTTTGCGCATTTCAAAGCCGCGCGAGGTATTTCAACAGGTAGTGAAATATTTCACAGCACCAACTTCTCACCCAAGTTTGCTCCTCTGAGCAGAGCCACTGGCCGCGACGCACATAGTTACGACCTTCTTTCCTCCCTTCCCGTCTCGCCACCCAAAACCCACTCCGTCTTGCCTCTCTCTGTTTCCCCTCCTTCTCCCTTCCTCCACTTCTTCCTTCCTCTTGACCTTCAGAAAGCCTCCCCTTCCCCGCCGCCGAGGCTTCTTAACACCCCCCCTCCCGCGTTGGGCGCCAAACCAAGGTCTGCGAAATGTTTAAAACACCCATAATGGAGACTTCTTACAAGGGGAGAGCCCGGAGGCGGACAGCAGCAGCGGCTATTCAACGTAAGTACCGCCAAACTTTTGTTCGCTTCTGGACGCTCGCAGCAGTTATCTCCCGGCGCGGCGATGTGCTCCGGGCGTGCGATTTCCTCCGGCTCCCCCCCCACTCCAAACGCCCGCCCCGGCCACCGCCCCGGCCCCATGTGTTCCGCGCAATATCCGTCCAACGGTTACGATGAAACTCCGCTTCTCGAGGGGAATCTTGGTTGAAGGTGTTGGGGATGGCAGGTACCTACTGCGCGGGGGGTTTAGAAGATACCGTCGAGGCGGAATTGCAAAGCCGGAGGGATTGAACGAGGGAACGCAGTCCCAGAGCGCTCTGCAACCTGTTTACTAGCTCCACTCCACTATCATAGGCCAAAACATTTAGAAGTAATTTTAAATATTTACAGTGGTGTAGGAGTAATGTGGGATTATTTTTTTACTAATGAAACAATACGGAAAAATAATTTGCAAATAAGGTGAATTGCCAAACACATTCCCTCTGTAAATGTACAGCTACGTTTAATAGACGAAACAGGATAAAACTTACGCACACTCGTATGAAGCTATTTTAAAATCTATAGAACAAACAATATTAAGCGTGTGAACTAGCCAAATGCAGATTGTTTCATCAGAAGTGTGATTAATATTAAACCTGGAGAAATTAAAATGTATTATATGTTAGGAATTAAAAAAGAGATAAGCTACTTAAGAGAATGGGGACAATTTCTCTAAAAAGAAACATATTCAAAAGTAAAATGAAACACACTGGACATCCTGCTATATTTCAAAAAAGGTTATAGATTAGTAAAAAAAATCGTAATATACCAATGTGGCTTTAATGATACATGCACATATATGCAGATATTTTAACATGGTAATCACGAATTGATGGGATAAATAACAGTAACGTCCTCAAAAGTAAGAACAGTGGAAATATAATATCAGTAGATCATTATTCGATCGAAAAGGAAATTAGACTGATTTGAATATACGAAAATTTGGATGACTGAATAAAGCACAAAAACTAAGTAACAATGAAGTCAGAAACAGAAAACCTTCCTGAAATTCTTAAAAAGACGTTTAACAATCATAGCGTACTGAAAGTTGTAAGATTTACAAATAAAAAAGAAACCACTAATTGAATGATGCATGGATATACTTATTTATATATTTTTTTGTTCTCAAAGTGATTCAAATAATTAAAAATTCGGATAATTATTGTTAGGAAAATTGTGGCTCGGGTTATTGCTACCAACATTGCAACCATCAAGAGTTACAAGCAGTTTAAGATGATTATATTAACAATTATAATAATTATAGAGTCGCTCCACTATCTGCGCACGTATTACTGAGTTCTGTGGCGGTGTTAGAGGGGGAATATATCTATTTCGTGAAGAGTAACAAAAACTAATTCTCCATGTTCTCGCAGTAAAATAGCTTGCTTCCCATTGAGCACTATAAAGGAGAATGAGTCAAAATCCTTAGCTCAATTGTCGATTCAATCAGTTTTTATTACATGGGACTCATTATTTGTTGCAATTATGTTTTGCTCAAACCAGTCCTGCTTACTTCATAATTCTATTTAGTTTAGTAATAAATGGAAGAGTGAAAATTCCGGAACCTCCGAAAATATTCGCAAATTACCTTTTACCACAATATCTCTCTCTCACACACACACGTAACAATTTTTGCACATTAAAAAAATACATAAACAAACAAATGAATGGAATAGATTAAAACGAATAAAAGAAGGGAGGGCAAGGCTTGTAAAAATAGAAAATAGAAGGGAGGACAAGGTTCATGCCTCAAAACTCTTTAAGCAGATTCCCATCGGTATTCATAATAATCGTCGTCTATGGCCATGCTAATCATCACGATCAGCCTTATGATGACGATCGTGCTGATCATGCCGATGGTTAGCATTATAACGACGACCACTGTATGAGATGCAACAAGCCGAGCAAGGAAGGAGAACGAGTGGGGCAATACGAGTCCTCTGATGAGGATGCAGTGGCCTCGCTCAGCTCCGAGTCGGGATCCACAGTATCTTTCCTCTTGTGATTAACTTTCGCGTCTACGAGTAGCCCACGCGCGACGCGATTCCGCGAGGCAATTCAGCAACTTGATTCAGCAACCCGATTTCGCGACGCGGACTACTCACGCACGCGCGCGCACGCATGGGACACGCACGCGGCACGGGGGCCAGCGCAATTATCCCGAGGCTCTCGTGCGCTCCGGGAGCCCGCGTCATTAGAAACGCAACGGAGTGGCGGGCGATAATCTATTGTGGGCGACGGCGCAGCATACGAGTATTACTGACGATTGGTCGCGCGATGTCCTGGCGAGGTCGAGCGCGTTATCAGAGCAGGCATATGCAGAAAGTGACGCCCGCCCACCCGCCAGCATTCGCACACAAACGAACAAACACCCGCGCACACAAACAAACAAACAAACAATCACCCGCGCACACAAACACACAAACAAACACCCGCGCACACAAACAAACAAACACCCGCGCACACAAACAATCACCCGCACACACAAACAAACAAACACCCACGCACACAAACAAACAAACACCCGCGCACACAAACAAACACCCACGTACACAAACAAACAAATTCACACACGTACATACAAAGAGACGCAGATACATTCACGCACGGACTCACAGATACACACGCGTACACACATAGTCACACACAGTGAGGGCGCATTGAGAGTCATACTGCGCGCACGCACGTATACACACACACACACACACATGCAAGAACGTAAACCTGGTTAACCGAGCGAATGCGACGACTTGCAACGCCATTCGGAACCGCCTAGCTCGCATGTACGCCGGTGTCGTGTGTGCCTCGCGGGGGGAATCGGTGCGGTCGCACACACAAAAATGACTCACTGGAGTTGGCCGAGGTGGCAAACGTGATTCGACTCGCGCGGGCGTTCGGAAGCGGCACGCGAAAGGGGCGTGATTTGCTAGGTGCCATTTTTTCTAGCGTCCCGTAAAGCTAGCGGAAGCGAGCACGCGGTTTCACAGGGCCAGCGGAGAATTAATATTTTTTTATGCAGTTGGGCGGGGTGGGGTGGAGGTGGAGTGGGGCTCGCGAGCAAGCCGCTCAAAAAGTAATTTCCGTGCTCGGCTTTTGGTAATGATTTTTATGATGTGGATGATTAAGAAGGGATGGCAAAACTACGTGTACATACGATGGCAAGAGGAACATACAACCGCTTCGATTTTATAATACTACGCG